CCCCTTCGCTGGTCCTGGCCAGGTGGAAGTGTAGGCTGGGTGGGCAGGCAGGGTGCACGCTCTGAGAGGCTGGCCTTCCTCCCCAGCCGACACTCTGCAGACCCATTCAGGCCTCTTCCTGGAGGACCTGGAGATGCTGGTGCCCTCAACGCCCACTTCGGCCAGTGGTGCCTTCTGGAAGGGCAGTGAGCTGGGCCCGGAGCCAGCTACCCAGCCATCTGCACCCAGCACCACCAGTGAGGTGGTCAAGAGTAAGTCAGTCAGCCTCTTAGGCTGGGGTGGGGTGTCCTCTGGTTCCCTTGGCCCCAAACCCGACCCCACGGAGAGCAGGCTGGGCCGGAAGGCGGGAGGAAGGAGCCTCAGGTTGGCAGGGGCACGGGGCGGGCGGCCCCGACTCACTGCCCACCGTGGCCGTGCAGTCCTGGAGCGCTGGTGGGGGACCAAGCGGATTGACTACTCGCTGTACTGCCCCGAGGCGCTCACGGCCTTCCCCACCGTCACGCTGCCCCACCTCTTCCACGCCAGCTACTGGGAGTCCGCTGACGTGGTGGCCTTCATCCTGCGCCAGGTGAGTGTGTTTAGGGGTGCGATGGGGTCACAGGACCGGAGAGAACGGCAGCTCTGGGCCCGTTCACGTGTCCTCGCCGTGTCCCGCAGGTGATCGAGAAGGAGCGGCCCCAGCTGGCCGAGTGCGAGGAGCCGTCCATCTACAGCCCGGCCTTCCCCAGGGAGAAGTGGCAGCGCAAGCGCACGCAGGTCAAGATCCGGGTACGGGACGACCCCTAGGCCTCCGGCGTGAGACCCCGCCTCCTTGGCATTCCCTCCATCTCACGACCAGGGCGTCCCCTCTCCAGCATCACCCCGATTTCCTCACCTGTTGGTGCCCTGCGATCACAGCTCCCCAATTATGGTCCTCAAGCTGTCACACTTCCCTCCTCCTCCAGCCAAGCCACGCCCTTAGGCCTCTTGCCACGCCCCTTAGACTCCTTACCACGCCCCTTAGGTATCTTGCCACGCCCCCTTACGTCCAGGCAACGTCCCTGTGCATAACCCCGCCTCTTACCCTATGCCCCGCCCCCTTCCCCTTATGCCCCACCCTCTTCCCATATGCCCCGCCCCTGAGTGTGGCTCCCTCCCCACATCCCACCCTCCCCGCAGAAGTCTCACCCCTTTTCCTCCCACTAGAATGTCACTTCCAACCACCGCGCGAACGACACGGTGGTGTGCGAGGGCCGCCCCCAGGTGCTGAACGGGCGCTTCATGTACGGGCCTCTGGACGTGGTCACGCTCACAGGCGAAAAGGTCAGGACCCACCCAGCAGGGCCTCCCCAGCCACAGGCCTGCCATGCTTTTCTCCCTAGCTGCGAGTGAGGGGTCCCCTGGCTCCCTCCCACAGGCCCTCACACCCCTACCCCGCCAGGTGGACGTCTACGTCATGACACAGCCACTGTCTGGCAAGTGGATCCACTTTGGCACAGAGGTCACCAACAGCTCAGGCCGCCTCACCTTCCCAGTTTCCCCTGAACGTGCACTGGGCATCGGGGTGTACCCCGTGCGCATGGTGGTGAGGTGAGCGGGGCCGAGGGGCCTGAGGGACCGGGCTCCACTTGGACAGCCCCACCCTCACTCTCACGCTTTGTGGACCACAGAGGTGACCACACATATGCCGAATGCTGCCTCACGGTGGTGGCCCGAGGCACAGAGGCCGTGGTCTTCAGCATTGATGGCTCCTTCACTGCCAGTGTATCCATCATGGGCAGCGACCCCAAGGTGCGCGCCGGTGCTGTGGACGTGGTCAGGTAGGAGCCGCTCCCAGGCCCTTACACCTCCACACCTCCACTGTCACCTCCTACCCCAGACCCCCCGGGCTGACCACTGGCCCGCCCGCAGGCACTGGCAGGATGCTGGCTACCTGATCGTGTACGTGACAGGCCGGCCGGACATGCAGAAGCACCGCGTGGTGGCCTGGCTGTCCCAGCACAACTTCCCCCACGGTGTCGTCTCCTTCTGTGACGGGCTCACCCATGACCCACTGCGTCAAAAGGCCATGTTCCTGCAGAGCCTGGTACAGGAGGTGTGCAGGAAGATCCCCACCTGTCCCAGCTGGCCCGTGGGACAGGAGAGCCCTCCAGTCCACCCTCTGTAGTCTAGGCAGCCTTGACCTCCATCCTTTCCTGGTCTGAGGGGTCCCTTGCACGGGGGACCAGGGATGGGGATAGGTTGGGCTTCTTCAAGTCAGGAGGCCCAGTAACTTGAGCACCACGTGGCCATGCCTCTGTCCCCTAGACAGGCTGCTCCCGAGTCCAGCAGGCCCCAGCCCCACCTCCCAGAGTGCTGACAGACTTCTCTGGACACAGGTGGAGCTGAACATCGTGGCTGGCTATGGTTCCCCCAAAGATGTGGCTGTGTACGCGGCACTGGGCCTGCCCCCAACACAGACCTATATTGTAGGCCGAGCCGTGCGGAAGCTGCAGGCACAGTGCCAGGTAAAGGGGTAGGATCTGAGCGGACCCTTCCAGCCAGCCCTGTATCTCAGGCCTGGGAATTCTGTGGTCCTTGAACTTGGACCTCAGAGAGCAGTGGAGCTGTGAGGCCAAGTGGCTAATTGTACCGGCTGTGGGCCCCAAGTGCAGCCTGCACCCTGCCCAACTCTGACCTTTCGAAAGCATTTCCTCTCTAATGCAGTAATGCCAGCTGCCACGCCCCTCAGCTCTCCTGAGGACCAAAGGTTTAACCAAGGCCACTGCCAAGTGCATTCGGGTTCACAGTAACCCTATAAGGCCGGACACACTGCCCCGCGGGGTTCTCCAGGCTCCAGCTGTCACAACCGTAGGCCGTCCCAGCTTTCTCAGGAGTGGCTGGTGGGTTACACCAGCTTTTGCGTTAGCATCCAAGCGCTTTATCACTGTTCCACCAGGGCTGCTTTTTCAAATGCTTCCCCACACCCTCCACTGGGTTTCTGAGTCTTCAAGGCACGGGAGGTGCCCACCTTCCTCCTTCAGAACAAGAGGTGGATTCAAAGTGCCGAGCTTTCAGCTCGCAGCCAGACACACTGTACACCAACCACAAGGGTTACTTTGCTAAGTGTTAGCTACTATTGATACCCCATGAGTACCAGTTCACTGACAGGGAAACTGAGGCCTAGTGGTAGGACTGAGTCCATGGCACCCTTGCACCCAGCTGGGATCAAGCCAGCCACCCCACAGTGACAGTCCCCGTCCTGTCTCAGAAGCTTGGGAAGACAGGGGCAGGTAGCACGTGGGCCTGAGGCCAGGAATCCCCTCATGCCTGCCCACCTCTGTCCGCAGTTCCTCTCTGACGGCTATGTGGCCCACCTGGGCCAACTGGAGGCAGGTTCCCACCCTCATGCACCTTCGGGACCCCCTCGGGCCACGCTGGCCAAGAGCAGCTACGGCGTGGGCACTCCTGTAGACTTCCTCCGGAAGCAGAGCCAGCTGCTGCGCTCCAGAGGCCCCAGCCAGGCAGAGCGCGAAGGCCCGGGGACGCCACCCACCACCCTGTCCAGGGGCAAGGCCCGCAGCATCAGCCTCAAGCTGGACAGCGAGGAGTGAGACCATGCTGGCCGGACTGACTGGGTTATTTATTCACATCCCAAGGGGCCCACGTGGCTGCACACGGGAGGCCAGGGGCCTGGCCCACTGGCCCTGCTCAGCCGACCAGCCCCACCCCCTTGCGTCCCTCTGCCCCTCAGTGTTACTCCCTTTCCATGTGGGGGAGGGAGGAGGGAGTGGGCGCGGGCCTAGACTCTAATGTGTGTCCATCCACAATAAACCCACCCGCACCCGTGGTGTGCTCGCCTGCCTGGCACGCAGGACACTGCAGTGCAGCTCATGATTCACTGGGGACCTAGAAGCACAAAAGAGGGGTCAAGGCTGCGCAGGGTCACAGGGCAGGGCAGACAGAGCCCACATGGAACCAGGCCTTCCCAGATCTCTGCACTGGATAGCCTCACCCGCCCAGACTGTCCCGTTAGCCTGGGCAACTGCTGTACCAAAGTCCCTGCCCAAGAAGGCAAGCAAGGCTGACGCGGTCAGAGGAAGCAGGATGTGCCAGCGGGTGTGTCCCCCTCACGCGGGCACCGGCCCCTCATGTTCTCTTCTTCACACGTGGGCTTTGAACTCATTTGGTTCCATCCTCTATGAAGCATCGACAGTTCCTCCTGATACACGGAGCCGTTTCTATAGCCGGAGTCTGTGAAGGGCACCTTGGGGTTCTGTTAAATGCAGGTTCTCATCCCGTCTCCCTGTGGCTCCGTGGGACCCTGCGACCCCCACCTCTGACTGGTTCCACTGGATCATTATCGCCCCACGCTCCTTTTTCTCCACAGCGGGTGATGATGTCCTCTACCCCTCTCAGAAGTACCCAACAGTGGCCTTGTTACAAGGCATGGGTGCCAGGCCAGCAGCCTCTCCTGACTGCTCCAGGGCTACCATCCAAGCACAAGCTTTCAGCCTTTGTGTCTCTGCATCCCCACAGCCCCATCCAGGGCGCTCCCCTCTGCAGTGCTCTTTCCTCTCCACCACCAGCACCCCTGCCCCTCTCCTCCCAAGCCTTTATTGCCCTTTGCTGCCCTGTGTCCTGCCCCATGCTTCCTAGGATAACACTGAGTCCTCACCTTGAGGTTCCCTGAAGTGTGGACCTCCAGGGCACCCCCACTGCTCACATCACATGCCACTTTCTACCCCTCGCTCCATGGTCCTCTTTACCTCCCTGGCCCTTCAGGATACTACTTGATCCCTGGCTCTCTCAACAGGAAACAAGTTCAGCTCCAGCACCCCTGCAAGATAGGGGCTCCCCAGGCACCCAGCCCCAGCCACGGAGAACCACTCCCTCCCCACAGAGGAGCTCTCTCACTGCTGTCCGAGCCGTGAGACCACAGCTGCTGCCTGGGGAGCTGGGACTAGAACGCTGGTCCTTTGCTTCACCCAAGAGCCAGAAAATGGCCAGAATGGCCGAGCTCTCCCCATGGATGAGCCCAGCAGAGGAGAGATAAATAAGGCCTTTATACAGAGAACTGTGATGGAGCAGAGGCGGGGGGCTGGTGGTAGCAGCAGCAGGCTTGGCAGCGTGGGCAGGGCTGGCCGGGGGCCCCCGTCAGTGGGAGAAGATGCCCCGGAATCGAGTCTTGTCCTCCTCGTCCTTCTGCCGGATCCGTGCCTCCAGGGCGCGCAGCTCACGGCTCACCACAGGCGCCAGGGCTGGGTCCAGCTCCAGCACCTTGGCAAAGTCAGCCTGGGCTTCCTGGGCATTCCACACGGCCGCGTGGGCCTTGCCCCGCTTGAAATAGGCCTTGACGTTGTCTGCAAGCAAGGGTAGGGGGCACCGGTGTGAGCAGGCACCAGCCAGCATCCAGCTGCACTTCTGGCACCATAGTCCCCATCAGGAGGCAAAGAGGCCCCACGCACCCTGAGGGTGCCACCCTCCCGCCCCGTGACACTCTTCAGAGCAACCGGGATATCAGGGCCTCTGTGAGAGCGCTGAGGGGGGCGCCCAGGCTAGGTCCCGATCCCGGTGCCTGAGGTCAGGGCCAGGCCAGCCCGCTGTGGCCGGCGCTCACCGTCATACTTGTTGAGGATCGAGGAGCAGTGGTCCAGCACTTCGTAGTACTCCTCCGCCACCAGCTTGCACTGGCAATAATTGAGCAGCAGTGGGGTGATCTGCTGATCCAGCTGGATCCAGTCAGGGGACCCAGGCTGTTCCTAGAGGCCCGGGGAAAGGAAAAGGGTTGAGCCGGCCGCCCACAGAGCCCGCGCCACCCACCACCCGGCCCCCGGGCAGCACCTTCATCTGCAGGTTCTTGAGGCAGGCGATGGCATCGTAGTACTTGGCGGCGGCCTCCTTCACGTGCCCCTCCCGGTACAGCTGGTTGCCCTCCTGGTGGATGATGGGTACGGCCTTGGCCTTCTCCTCATCAGTCATGGCCCACGGGTCCTGCTGGTACGTGCCGGGGCTCTCCACCTGCCGGGGCGCAGGCCAGGTTGGTGTTGGGGACGGCAAACCCCAGACTCAGACACCAGGGCAGGACAGCCCATTCTTTGATTGGCCAGTTAGCAAAACTTGGTGAACAACAAACATGAACATAGTTGGAACTGGGCCAAGTACCAGGACCGGACAGGGTGCCAGAGGGAGAGAGGCCTTCCTCCAGTGAGCCCACGTTCCCTGGGGAGTGCTAAAACAGGTCAGGGGACACGTGATCATACCATGCAGGGGCCAAGTGGACAGTGGTCACACAGGGACAGATGGTGGGTCACAGGGTGGGAGAACAGGCAGCAGCGTCCCCAGCAGGCCCTTCTAGCACTGGCCCCTGCCGGCCCTCCTCAGCTGATCCCCCACTGGGCAGAACCAGGCTGTTGCGGGCTTGCAGGCCTCACCTTCAGCATCTCGATGTGGAAGATGAGGGGCTGCGGGTTCTGCTGCAGCGCATCCAGGTCGGCGTGGCCCAGGGAGCTGTGCTCATGCATCTGGGAGATGCCACAGCAGTGCCGCTGCCCCTCCAGGGGGTCCTTGCCGGCCGCAATGTTGCGCAGGCTCTTGGCCACCAGTGGGTAGAGGACCACGTGCTGGGGGCGGGGGGAAGCGGTAGCTCTGTCAGTGCCAGTCCCCTCCCCACCCCAGCCAGAGGAAGGACATTGAGTCCCAGGGCAGGACACCAATGGCTCAGGATTCCTCTCTGGGTGTGGGGGATGCCCCAAGACCCCCAGCCTCCCAGCCTGGCTCCTGACGAAGCCCCCAGTTCCTGCCACACTCTCCAGCCAGTCATCAGACCACGTGCTGCAGCATCTGCCTTACAACATACTCTAGTTACAATGAGCAGAGGAACCCACTTACCATTATCTGTCTTTTAACAGCTTATTATTTAATACTTTGCATACAGTGTCACAGTATGCCACTAACTGCTGTTAATCATTCTCACACCAGCCCCTGAAGACAAATACAGACCAGGTCATAAAATACTGATAAAAGGTACTGATACTGAACACCTGAACAAAATCAGCGGCAACTGACTTCCATCCGAACCAATTACTGCGTTGGAATGGAATCGTGTCCCGAACTGAGGCCTACCCCAAGCTGCCACATACACGCATGCTCCTATCTCACCTCCTCTGTCCTCACAGGCCTCCAAATGTCCCCCCTCTTTGTTCTTCTCCCCTGAGACACAGCCTACAAACTAAGTTCCTCACTAGTACAGGTTCCCACTCACTTATGCCCCCACATCTCTTCCTTCTCTCCCCATTCCTCCCTGCTCAGGGCCTAGCTCAGAACCAGGCCTGGAGCAGCAGCTTTAAACTCCCAGGGGAGACAGGCGGAGGGGACCCTAGACTCCAGCCTTTCCTTTGAAACCACTGTGGGATGAAAGCAGTCTAACCAAGTGCCCCTCCTGGCCTGCAGGGACAGTGCCGCCTCAGCTGCTGGCCGTGGACACAGCACTCTGCTGAGTCTGGTGCAGGGCAGAGTCGGAGGTGGGCCACACAGGGCACCTGATCCTGGCCATGCAGGGAGTCGGGGGGAGGACACTCAAACCAGGCTCGAGCTGAGACAAGGGCTTCTGGGGCTTAGGTGGCTTGTGATGTGGAAACTGAGTTCTGAGAAAGGAAGGGATGGAAAGAAAAGGCAGACAGGTGAGGGGAGACTGCAGAGGTGAGGGGAGACAGCAGAGGTGAGAGGACACTGCAGAGGTGAGGGCAAACGGCAGAGGTGAGGGGAGACAGCAGAGGTGAGGGCAGAAGGCAGAGGTGAGGGGAGACTGCAGAGGTGAGGGGACACTGCAGAGGTGAGGGGAGACGGCAGAGGTGAGGGGAGACGGCAGAGGTGTGGGGAGACGGCAGAGGTGAGGGGAGACTGCAGAGGTGAGGGGACACTGCAGAGGTGAGGGGAGACGGCAGAGGTGAGGGGAGGCGGCAGAGGTGAGGGGACACTGCAGAGGTGAGGGGAGACGGCAGAGGTGAGGGGAGACGGCAGAGGTGAGGGGAGACTGTCAGAGGTGAGGGGAGGCGGCAGAGGTGAGGGGAGACGGCAGAGGTGAGGGGAGGCGGCAGAGGTGAGGGGAGACGGCAGAGGTGAGGGGAGGCGGCAGAGGTGAGGGGAGACGGCAGAGGTGAGGGGAGACTGTCAGAGGTGAGGGGAGACGGCAGAGGTGAGGGGAGACTGTCAGAGGTGAGGGGAGGCGGCAGAGGTGAGGGGAGACGGCAGAGGTGAGGGGAGACGGCAGAGGTGAGGGGACACTGCAGAGGTGAGGGGAGATGGGCAGAGGCCAGATCCCCTGGAGGAAAACAGGTGTGGATGTGGACTCAGTCCTGGTAGCAGGGACTCTGGGCCACGTGCATGTGGAGGTGAATCTTTGCCTGCAGTCCTGCTAATGGTCAGGAGAGGGCAGAAGAGAGGCTGGGATGCTGGTGGAAGCAAGGCTGGAGGGAGGGGTGCAGGGCACAGAGATACAGAGATGACAGAGGGGCAGACAGGCAGGCACCTTGACGTCGCAGAGGAACTGTGCGATCTCGCCCTGGCGCATGGTGCACACGATGGTCTCCCACACCGGCAGCTTGAACTTCTTGCCGACGATGAGCTCCATGGGCTTGCCGCGTGCCCGGCTGTCATCCAGCACGGTGCCGTCCTGGTCACTGTGCAGTGTCCGGTAGTGGAAGGTGGCCTGTGGGCCACACACAGTCAGCAGGGTCCACCCCTGCCTTGCAGATAGCCTCGGAGACATGGCTCCCCCAGCGATCTCCATCTGACCTCTGGCTCAGCACCAGCCCCGAGTGGGGAAACCAAGTCACAGGGAAGAAAGCAGCCCCCAGTCACACTGTTAGCAGTGGTCAAACTGAGGCTGGACCCTAAGCCATCCACCTGCAGCATTAATTCAACAGAGCGGTTACCAAGGGCTGAGTTCTGTGCTAGACGCCAGGGTACGACAAACACCCTAAAAATACAGGCACTGACTCAATCCCAACTCATGCTGACCCTAGAGGAGAGAATGGAACTGCCCCATCCGGCTTCCAAGGCTGACATCTTTGCAGAAGCAGGCTGCATTAGCCTATTCCAATGGAGCATCTGGTGGCTTTGAACTACCAACCTTCCAGTTAGCAGCTGAGCTCTTTAACAACTGTGCCACCAGGGCTCCTTCACCAAGCTGTGAGCAAACCAGTTCCCGCCATTCTAAAGGAAGGAGATGCCCTTCAAATGAGGTGCTTGTGGCCCAGCAGGGGAACTGGCCAGCTCACTCTCTAAGATGCACCCACACTTGTGGGTGTGGGACCATGTCAGTCAGGTATTTATGGGAACCCTACGGAAGGGACTGGTCAGCTTTACCATCCTGCTAGGTTTAAAATATTCCCGTGGACTGTCTAAAGAACAAATCCATCCTGACGTGCAGCAGGGAGCTTCTTTTTTAAAAAATTATTTTATTTTATTATTGCGTGTGTGTGTGTGTGTGTGTGTGTGTGTACCGTCAAATCAGACCTGACTGGTACAGGAGGAGACTGCCCCTCCTTCTCCAGCAGAGCATCTGGTGGATTGGAACCATGTACCTCTGGGATTGCAGTGCAGCTTCCTGCCACTAGGCCACCAGAGCTCCCTAGCAGGGAGCTTCTTAGAGGCAAGAATGCTGAGATTCCATTACATCCTTTGGGCATGTCAGGAGGAACCAGCCTCGGAAAAAACCTCATGCTGGGAAAGAGGAGAGTCCCAGAAAGAGAGGAAGACCTTCAACAAGAAGGGGTGATACACTGTAAAAAGCGGCTCCAGCACAGTCAGAGAAGCAAGGCTGGCAGAACAGGCCAGGGTCAGATCTGTTGTTCAGTGTTGCTGTAAATGATAGTTAACTTGAGGGCACAGAAGGACAACAACAAGCTTAACAGGAGCTTAAAAAGAGGTTGACAAGAGGGGCCTCACTACCACCAAGACAGAAAAGACTGCAGTGCAGTATGGCCTTCGGACGTGGAATCCCTGCGCCGAGAACATGCTCGAGAGAAAGCTGTCACACAAAGCTGTCACAGGAAACAGCTGTAACACCAGAGACAGCAAGAAGAGGTGGCAGAGAAATGACAGCAACAAAAGGAACAGAACCCAGAGACCTGCAGGGGACAGTGCGCAGGGCTTCCTGGCCCACAGCCTGAGAGCTGAGCGCTTGCAGGAAGGAAGCTTGCTGGCAGAGTGTGGTTCCGCTGGGAACTTGGCAGAACTAGGCTTGTAAGGAGAACAGCACTAAATAAAAGCCCTGGAGTCAGGGTTTCCTGGCAGGGTCCTCTGGGCACTCACTAAAAAGCTTTACAACATCTCCCAAGCAGGGCAGAGGCCAGGCGGACCCAAGAAGTTCATGGGGCCGCAGAGGGACCAAGGGTCTGAGAGAGACCTGCCTTTGGGCTTGTCTGGGAAGCTATGCCTGCGAGAGAACTGTATCCTGAATTGTGACCTGTTACTTTCCCAATAAAGCCCATAATCAGGAGAACCACCTGCCGGTTCTGTGCGACTGCTTAACAAGTTATCAATCCCGGCAGAGAAGGCATGTGTGGAATATTCCCCATGGCTTTTCTAACCGTGGTCAGGATAACTCACCACACGGCAGAGGGAAATGCCGGGTGTTTGTGGCCCATCACGGAGATGACACAAGCTGGAGTGAAACCAAGACCTGCCAGCTGAGATGCCACAGCAGTGAGGACGGGAGCAGCAGGAGCAGAGGTGGGGACCCAGAGACAGGAGGGGGACCCAGAGACAGAAGGGAGACCCAGAGACGAGAGGGACACCCGAGACCAGAAGGGGGACCTAGAGACGGGAGGGGAAACCAGAGAAGGGAGGGGGCCCAGAGACGAGAGGGGAAACCAGAGAAGGGAGGGGGCCCAGAGACGCGAGGGGGAACCAGAGATAGAAGGGAGATGCAGAGACAGTGGGAGACGCAGAGATGGGAGGGAGACCCAGAGACGAGAGGGACCCAGAGACAGGAGGGGGGGACCCAGAGACGGGAGGGGAACCAAGAGATTGTGGGAGACTCAGAGACGGGAGGGAAACCGCTCCATGGAGCAAGAGCCAAGCGTCCTGGCGCAGTGGAGGCAGCCCAGACCTGAAAGGGCTTTGTGACACTTGCTGGAGCAGGGCAGACCCGAAGCTGCGAGGCCTCCTGCAAGTGAGGCTGAGAAGCGCTGTACAGCCCGCAGAACTGTATCCTGCCTCTTCCCAGCCTGTTACTTCCTTCATGAACCTCATGGTCATGACTACTGAGCTCTGGGTGACCACTGCAATGTATTCTTAAACCTAGTAGTAGAGTGGACACCTGGTGGCGCAGTGTGTAACGTATCACTGCTAACCACAAAGCTGACAGTTCAAATCCACCAGCGACTCCATGGGAGAATGACGGGCAGTCTCCTCCCGTGAAGCGTTACAGCCCGAGGAGCCCAGGGGAGGGTCAGAGGGAGTCAGACTGTCCTCAACAGCAGCAGGTCAGGTGTGAGTAGAGAGTGGTGAGAACCACGGGCGAGATGGTGGGTGCTAGAATTGAAAGGAAGAGGGTGTAAGGCCGTGGGGCAGGTCGACTTCACTGAAATCAGCTCGTGTTACTGTTGACAAGGACTTTTTCCTGTTGCGGAGAGAGCTCAGGAGGGCGGCTGGTGCCTTAACTGGTAGAAAGGCTGCAAAGTGGAGGCAGGTCTGAGCTCCACCTTACAGGAACCAGCCGTGTGGGCTGCTCATCCCGAGTCTCCTTCCCCTCAAGAAGTTACAGGAGGTCAGAGGCCTTCACGCTGACATTTTTACAGGGTTAAACCACAAACTACAACAGAGTGAGGGAAGTGGGGGGCGGTGCGGCAAGAGCGTTCGACACAGAGCGTTCAGTGGGGGCAGAGACTCACAGCGAGCAGGGGTTGGGGTATCTGGGACAGAGGCGCACACCTCAGCCAAAATGACAGCAGAGGCCAAGGCTACAGCAGGACCTTGTGGGGCTCAAGGAGCAGCAGAGTCAGGCAGCAGAGCGACTGAGGGGAATGTGGGTGCACTGGGGTCAGCAGGGATGGACGGGCTTTCCAGAGACTTTGAGATGGGAGCCGCCAGAGGTAGCAGGAAAAGTAGAGAGAAGGTCTCATTTCAGTTGTGCTCCTGAGAGGAGGAGAGAGCTCTGGGGCCTGGTAAGTAAGGAGCTGTGCTGAAAACCCAAAGGCATGTGGTTCAAATCTACCAGCTGCTCCGAGGAAGACAGATGAGCGATCTCCTCCCATGCAATTCAGAGCCTCTGGAAACCTGCTGGAAAGTCAGCTAAGGGTTGGTTCTGAATAGATGGTACAAAACAATAACAACTTGGGAGGAGGACAGATTGTAAGGGGGTGGGCAGATGTGTCAGGGGTCACTCCTGTCAACCACAGAGGGGCGATGGTGACAGCAAAGTGTGGTCACCATGGACATGGTCAGATTCTGGCTGGAACCTGAGGACATGCTGTGGAATGAGAATGGGGGAGGCACGTTGACCATGGATAACTGAGAGTAGTTTTTACTCTCACTTTCAGATATTGGGGTGAGGGCAATCAGAGAACCCCATCAGACCAACCACACCCTCTCACTCCTCCCCACCAGGGAGTCTGTAAAGAGAGGGCCCTCGCTGGGTCTATCTGAGGGGGAGTACAGAAAGCTCACACTCTCAGCCACCACGCCTGTCACCTCCCTAACTGTACTCAGTTTCCACATCAGTAAACGCAATCCACAGCAACTGTTTCCGCAGCAGGAACTCGAAGGAGTAAAGCAACCGGGCACTCAGTAAAGTCCCCAAGCTGTGAGGGCCTGACGGGGGTTGGTTACTTGTTATCTCCTGGCCTCTTCGGCTGCTAACCGAGAAGTGAACCTCTAGAACTCACAAGCTGTGTAGCATTCTGCTCAAGTTAAGGAAAATGGCCTCAGAAACCCCCAAGGGGCCATCCTGCTTCCCACAGAGACAGTGAGTCATAACCAGCCCAGCGGCAGTGAGCGTGGGGGCTCGTTCACATGTTCTCATGACCCTAGAATGTTTCCAGGAGCCTTGGTGGAGCGGGGGTTAAGGCATCATGCAGCTAACCAAAACGCCAATGGTATGAACCCACGAGCGAGCTGTTCTACAGAAGGATGAGGAAATCTGCTTCTGTAAATATTTACAGACTTGGAAACCCTATGTCGCATATACTCTGTCCTTTAGGGGCCTGGGAGTCAAAAGATGTATTGCATTATGGAACTCTGCTGTCAGGGACCTCTCTAGAGTGCTGAGAGCAACGATGTCAGTCTAGAAACTAAAGTGTGCCTGATTCAGGCCATGGTCTTCCCAAGTACCTGCTATGCATCAGAGAGCTGAACTATGACAAAGGATGACATAAAAAGAACCGATGGCATTGAGTTGTAGTGCTAGAGAAGAGTCTTGAACATCATGGACTGCTAAGAGAACAAACAGACCTGTCCTGGAGAGGTTGAAACCAAACTGCTCCTTGGAAGCAAGGATTTTGAAGCTCCGTCTCACATACTTTGGGCATGTTGCCAAGAGGGACCAGTCCTTGGAGAAGGACATCATGCTTGGAAGGATGGAGGGACAGCGAAGGAGAGGAAGACCCTCTACGATATGGACTGGCATAGTAACAGGGGTAATCGGGGTAGTTGTGTCAGAGATAGTGACAATAGCTCAGGATAGGGCAGGCTTCAGAGCTATTGTACATAGGGTCACTATAAGTCACAGTTGACTCAATGATACAAACAACGGGGAATTGGAATGCATTATCATGACTCTCCCTGAGGTCCACCATGCCCAGTTTCTCCTCCATCAGGCTGCCAACACCATTCTTTCTTGCATGACCATCACCCCCACTGCATGCATGTCCGAGTTTACACAAACACGCCTCTCTCTTCTCCAAGAAAACGAAAAATCAAACACACCACCACCAAGTCCATTCCAACTCACAGCAACCCAAAGGGCAGAGGCTAACTGGCCCATCGTGCTTCCAAGACATCATCTTTACAGAACCAGATTTGAGAGCCTGTACTGGGTTCCTAGCCCTGTCAGTTAGCAGCCCAACTTTAAGGTACTGCACCTTTACAAAAGGTATTGGTCCTCAGAACCTGTCCGGACCTCAATCAGCGCTCTCAGCAGGAGCTGTCCCGGAAGCCCTCCAGTCCACAGAGAGTAGTCAGGGAAAGCCACTGAAGGCTGGGAGCAGAGAGCCTGGGTGCCACATGTAGGGGAGGTTCTGGGAAAGGTGACATGGGGCCTGAATGTAGAAGAGGGAGGCAGGGGGCTCTTCAGTCCCAAGACTTCATCTGTCCCTCATTAGGCCACAGATGGCAGCTGCAAAATTGCCAACAGGCTCCCGAGGGACAGAAGGGACTCCAAGACCCATTCTCTGGGTTTGCAGCCCTGGAGCTTCACTTTTAATCAAGGAAACAGTCGAGAAATCACGCAGGTAGTCTCAGAAACCCTGTCCATCATAAATGACCTTGAACTTGAGACTCTGGCCCCGCAACCTCAACCTGCTCCTGCGTTTCAGGTTCACCGTCTTCCACAGGTACTGGGTCTGCACAAAGTCAAAGCCTCCCACCTTGTTTGTGATGACTGACGACTTCTCCGACCAATGAGGTCACGCGGCCAAGCCTGGGGGCGGGGCATGTGTATTAGAAGTTGCCACAACTTAAATTCAGGCCAATCAGCGTCGAGCACCGCATGTGAGTAGTAGTGGGGGGGCAGTAGCTGCTGCTGTCTGGGCATGCGCAACCTCTCGCCTAAGGCCTCCTCCCGCCTCGCATGCGCACCAAGGAGACAAGGAGGAGACAAACACGAACCTTGGTTCCATCCTGAAAGTCAGGAAGCTCTCCTTGGCCCTCTTGTATCACACGTTTTTGGATCCCGTCCTCCCGAAGCCTTGCGATGATATCCGCCATCCTCCTTCCCCGCTGCTCTCTTTCGGCAACTTCCGGACACGTTCGGTAGCTTCCGGACCTGCCTCGGCAACCTCTAGAGCTTCGGCAACTTCCGTGATAGTGCCATTTTGACTGAGGGCAGAAGCCAAAAGGGGACCATGTGCGTGGACACGTATGTTGATTGGTTCCCTGCTCTGCGGCTGCGCAAAAGGCCCAGCTTAGGGGAGGGACTGGAACGGCCAGGGGGTGGGGCTTTAGCCTGTCGATGGGTAGGGCGGGGCGCTTCCAGCAATTGTGTACTTTTTTTATAAATTGTGTGATTTCTAATTCCATCGATTACGACTGTCTCCTAAGCCAGTCGATTTAAAACTGTAAAAATAAATATAACGGCATTATACAGAGTTAGATGAGATTGTAGCCTAATCGTAATGCCACACCCTAAAATAACTGTCATTTCTCTGCATTCTTCTCCAGTTTAAGTATCTAGTGGAAGTGACATTTTGCATGGTGTATTTTGTTCCGCCTCTCAAAAAACAGGAGGTAGAGGGAAGGAGGGGAGTTACTGTATCTCTGTAAAAGCTATAGACGTGAAAGCTAGCATGTCCTTGAAAACGAAAGACTTCTAAGCCCCTTGCAAGACCTGGAGGGAGACATAAGGTTTCCGCTACACTCTGGCTGGCCAAAGAATATTTCTTCTTGCCTTTAGAAACTAGGTATGAACAGAGTAACCGCCACGGAAGATAATATGTCTCCAGCTTTCAGGGTTTAGGAAATCAGGTGAGGGGAGTGTCTTTATCTCATCGTAAATGTAACTGCCCAGGATTAGTGTCCTGTCCCTTTGATAAAGGGACTAATTAAATTATTTATCCTGGTTAATTTTCCAACAGGAAATCTCCTGAGAGGATCGTGAGGAAGCATTATTCATTTGGATGGTTTTGGTTTTTGCCAACATAGACAGTTTTACATGTAAGCTATACGAAACTTCGAGGGAACAAATACTCTGTGTCTGTGTCTTACACAAATTGTACGAGAAACTGTTAGTTAAGTGTCTTCAATTTGACTGCAAATTATAGTGACACAATGAATCTGAACTCTATCCTGTGCCATTCTCATCATCTCTGATGTGCATGAGCTCACTGTGAGTCACTGTGTCAGTCCATCTTGTTGAAGATCTTCCTTTCTTTCACTGACCCTCCACCTCTCCAGCCATGATGTCTTTTTCCAGCCCATCCTAACAACATGCCCAAAGTATGTGAGACAGAGTTTCACCGTCCTTGCCTCCAAGAAGCACGCTGGTTGCATTTTCTCCAAGACCTATTTGTTCTTTGGACAGTCCAAAGAATGATATTTAGTACTCTTCTCCAACGTCACCACTCAAAGGCACAAATTTTTCTTCTGTCAATCCATTGTCCAACATTCAGATGAATAGCAAGTAATTTAAAACTATTACTCGAGTCAGGTGCACCTTAGTCTTTAAACTGACATTATTGCTCCTTTACACCTTGGCAAGATTGTTGACAGCGGATTTCCCCAATGCAACATGTCTTTTGATTTCTTGGTTGCTGCTACCATGGGTATTGATTGTGGAGCCAAGCAAGAAGAAATTATTGATAACCTCCTGTCTGTCATAATGTTGCCTGTTAGCCCAGTGGTAAGGATTTTTATTTTCTTGATGTTGAGATGTAAACCATATAGTCTCTGATCTTTTGTAGCAAGCATTTCAAGTCCTCCTTGGTTTCAACAAGCAGGGTTGTATCAACTGAATAAAGTAGGTTGTTGAACCTAGAGTAGTCTTCCTCTGATCTTGATCCCACATTCCTCTTCATAAAGTCCAAGTTCTCAAATTATATACTCAGCATACAGATTTAATAGGTATGGAGAAAACAGATAGCCCTGATGCATACCTTTCTGAATTGTAAACTATACAGTGTTCCCTTGCTCTTCACACAACAGCTTCTTGGTCTAGGTATAAGTTTTATATGAGCATAATTAAGTGTTCTAGGATTCCCATTCTTCTCAACAATATTATTGTTAGGTGCCGTCAAGTCAGGTAGAACTCATAGCGACCTTATGAGCTAGAGAGCAAGCTTGTGCTATAGCGTTCAGATTTGTTCAGAAGGGATTTTTGCATTCTTTTTTTTAACACTATGACATTTAAAAAATATCATAGTGTTAAAATGTGTATCTTGCTTACTGAGTTTTTTGCATCTTCTTATCTTTTGCATCCAAAGGGGAAGTGCCTCCTTTCCTCTCCCTAGTCCCTGCCTCCTAAGTTCCCAAAGCGAGGAAGTAGGTCTGGGATTCCATCCAGTCAAGGTGTTTGGCTCCGAACTACTTTGCTGCAGCATCCTTCTAGATCATTGAAATGATGGTGGCAATGGAATAAGATGTTGGCGATTATCAATGTGACCTTAGGATGAAATAACACCTTAAGCAAGACAGAAAAGTGCCCATCTGCCTGCAAAGCTTAAGTGTTGGGCTGCTGACAGAAAGGTCGGTAGTTTGAATCCACCAGCAACTCTGGAAGAAAGCCAGGCAATCTGCTCCTGCTGGGATCCACTCCCGAGGAAACTTGCTTCAAGAAGAATTCTCCGACTGTCTACGGGGGGACAGTGGTCACACCCCAGGGAGAGTCCTCTTGCATCAGGGCTGTGATGTAAGCAAAGGTACTGGCTTTAGCCAGGTAACACATCCCACTGTAATCCTGCCTCATTAACCACACGCAGAGGTTAATTCTCCCACTGTCCACAGGGGTTTAAAGAATTGCCAGTCATGTAAAATAGGCTAACATGATTGGCTGCTAACTGAAGCATCATGTTAGGTCTCCTATGCTCCTGTAACGAAAATGTTGTTGCTTTATGTGCCACCAGGTCAATTACTACTCACAGCAACCCCACGAGCAACAACGCTGAACCTTGTCCTGTTCTGAGCCATTTTCACCATTTCCAACATGCCTGACCCCATTGCCACAGTCATTGTGTCAATCCATCTCCTCCACAGTCTTCCTATCCTGTGCTCTGATGCTCTAACCTTCCAAGCATGATATCCTCCTGACAACATGCCTAAAGTATGTGAGACAGAGTTTCAAAATCCTTGCCTCCAAGGAGCAACCTGGTTTCAGTTTTTCCAAGTTGGCCCTGTTAATTCTCTTAAGTAGTCCATGAGAATACTCTTCTCACAATTCAAAGGCATCAATTCTGTCATCATCTGTCATTGTCCAGCTCTCAGATGCATAACAAGCAACTGAGAAGACCAGGCTTGGATCAGGGGCACCTTAGTCTTTAGCACTCTGGAAAATAGATTTTCCCAATGCAGCTCCTCTTTTGATTTCCTGACTGTACCAAGGATGTTTATTTGGGCAGCCTGAAGTTTAAATTGAGGATGCTAGCTTTAAGAGCAGGCTGACTGCCCTTTTAGGCACTTTACGAGGAAGATCGTTTTCTACTCTTAGCATCTGTGGGCCCCATGTTGTTGGTGGATAGTCTTTTTTTGTTTTTTGTTTGTTTGTTTGTTTTTGTTTTTTGTTTTGGTGGATATTCTTGATATCAGTCTTATCCTGAGTCTAGGAAGTTCTCAACGCAGAGATTTCAAACCCAAAGGACATACACCATTCCAGCTCTTCCTTTTTGGGAATACTAAGATCCATATGATATATTACTCTGGAGATGAAAAGACAAGGAAAAATGGGGTTGCCTTTATAGTAAAAAAAGTTATTTCTAGATCCATCTTGAAGTACAACATCGTGAGTGACAGGATCATATCCATACACTTACAAGGAAGTCCAGTAAATACCACTATCATTCAGATATATGCACCAACAACCAGAGCCAAAGAAGAAGAAATAGATGATTTCTACCAACTTTTACAGTCGGAAATAGATAGAACATGCAATCAAGATGCATTGATAATAATGGGTGACTGGAATGCAAAAGTTGGGAACAGTGAAGAAGAATCGGTTGTCGGAAGGCATGGGCTTGGTGACAGGAATGAGGCTGGAGATAGAATGATTGAATTTTGTAAAATCAATGACTTATTCATTGCAAATACATT